CGACTACGTGGGAGTCCAGCGACATAGCCATTACACTAACTGCTGGTCCCAATTTAAGATTTATTATTAACACTCATGATTTCTTGCTGAATACATATATACTCACACACACACACATATCCCTGCTGCCATAAATATAAAAAACTGTAATAACACCTACCTCACTTGGTTCATTCTTTCATTCATTCAGCATCTAGTTACTGAGTACTCACCATGTCCCAGGCTCTGAACTAGGCACTGAAATAAGCCCTGGGCACAAGTTCCCGAGCTTTTGGAGCTTATATTCTATCAGGGAAGACAGGCAAATAAGGTGAGGAATATTTTGAAGAAAAATAAAGGAAACGAAGGGAACACAGAGCAAGACTGTATGCTATTTTATATGGAAATGGTAGGGAAGCCGTTGTATCTAAAGTAGTAGCCTAGCTGCCTTCTCCCACCACCACTACCGTACTGCTCTGGCTCTCTTTGCTTCTCTTCAAACTACTTTGTGTTCTTAATTTGAAAATGACAAAAGCCAAATAGAAAAACTTGGCAAGAATCTTAGAGAAACATTCTCTTTTTTAAAAAGAATTATTTATTTATTGTAATTTATCATTATTATTATTTTTTAACTTGCATAGGGCACATTTGCGGCTCACTAGAGAGAGACATAGAAAATGAGAAAGCAAGCCACTAGACCTGGGACTGGAACTGTAGTTGGCCATGTAAGAGTCCAGCTCCTTAACCTCCATGTTACCTGCTGGCCCCATAACTTTTTATGTAATCATATGCCTAATCTTTTATTATTTGTTGAATTATTTTTGAGGGTGTCTGGTATGGAGGGTTGAGTTGACCAACCTTAATTCATGGCACACTATCTCCTTCAGTTCATTGAATTCTTCTCATTTACTTTATTTCAGTTTTCTCCATTTCCTCATTTTTACCCAGTCTTCCCCTATGAGAACTCATGGGCAAACATTTCATGAATATTTTTTCAACTCACCTTTCATAAATTGACAGTCATTTTTTTTTAATTTTCAAAATTTTTTATTTCATTTTCTTTTATACAATCACATTATTATTTGGCTTACGAAATGGATATTTCAACAGGTAAATATTTCTCCCTAGTACAGTTGATAAAACTATAAAATATCTTCAACAGATAAATGTGTATACATACACACGTGTACATAAATGTAATTTTTTTGGAATATATGTGTCAAAGTTTGTGAAAAAGCCATTGTGCTACTGTTTTTAAATTTGTGGCAATATTATATTGGTAAGATTTATGTCGTGTATGTGTAGATATAAATCTAGATCTTATGACCATGTATCATGCATAATTTCAACTGCAACCCTCTTGGTCAAGGTTACGTCCCTTTCTGGGGTTGCTGTGGAGCAATATATAGTTGCTACAGAAATATAAAGGCATAACATCTGTGCTGAACTCAGGACAACTCTGAAGGGCCATTCCAGTTCCAGAGAGCTCCTCATAAAGTTGGCTAAGGCTGTAGCTTGGCCTCAACTCAACTTTCTCCTCTTATCCACTCCTGCTTTATTTCCTTCCCTTCCATATTCATTACTACAGCCACACTCTTTAATAAATCCCTTGCCTTCTCAGACTCTGCTTTCAGGGGATCCTGGCCTATGGCAGTATGTACACACAAATATAAACACATATAGTTTCTTGTATTTCCTTATGTCAAATTTTATACATCTATTCTCCCAGTTATATACATGTAAGTTACTTCCAAGACTTTACTAACAAGGCTGCAATCGTAGACTAGATAAAAATTTCTCTTTGCTGTATATATTTAAGAGTAGGTTGCTGGGTCACAGGATACATGCATTTCATTTAAAAATACCAGCATGCTCTCCAGCAAGAGAAGTTACATTCCCATTACCAATGTGTTTCTCCATAGCCTTCCTCCCAACATCGTCCATCTAGTAACTGTAGATACAGACCTTTGCTAACAGAAATCCTTTTCATGTTTATTTTCCAGTTTGATCAGAGAGAGACACAGAGAGAGAGAGGAGGTGAGAAAGCAAGCCACCAGGTCTGAGACTTGAACCGTGGTTGGCCATGTGGGAGTCCAGTGCCCCTATCCACCACGCCACCTGCTGGCCCCATATTGAAGGTAATTTGCAAGTCTTTAAAGTTCATACAGGGACCAGCAAATGGCATAATGGTTACATTCCTGGACTCCCATGTAGTCGACCACGGTTCAGGTTCCAGACCCAGCGGCATAAAACTCACACTAAGCACACGTGCCCAAAATCCCAAGATGAAAATGGAGGAGAAGGGCATGGCCCCCCTGGAGGATGATTTCTCGCTTTCTGTCTCTGTCTCTCTGGTGAGAGCACACACTATTATAGCAAAAAATCTCTCTTAAAAAAAAAATGAGTAAGGAGTTCCTGTGTGGGATAATGAAAAGCTGTAGAAACAGGAAGTGGTGTTTGCACAACACCATGAATGTACTTAATACCACACAATTGTACACTTGCAAGTGATTAAAATGGTAAATTTTATTAGGTATGTTTTATCATGATAAAATGAAGTTCTCAGTAACAATTCCTAACAAATATACAATGCACTGCTTAGCTTATTCTGGAAAATAATCTCTAATTTACTCTGGGAATGAATGATAGGACCTCAAGCCATATACACCTTCTAATGTTACAGCATATAAATATTTTGCATAGAATCATTATTTAATTATAGTTATTATTTGGTGAGTGCTCATTATGTACTAGGCACTATAGTAAACAAGTTATCTTCACTTTGCTCCTTTTTTTTTTTTTGGAGAGGTTTTTGCTATAGGGTGCGTGCACTCACTAGAAAGAGATAGAAAGACAGAAAGTTTGCTTATTTTAACATGCAAGTATCAGGTATGTAGTAATATAATGTTATTCAATTCTACTGGAATTCTAATTTATTACTTAAAATTTGTATCCATATTATCCTCAATTAAGTGTTCTATTAATTATATGTTTTCACTGGTACCCTAATATATCTGTTAAATTAGATTTTGAGTGGTATTAAAGAGGGGAAGGATTGGAGAAAATCATATGCCCCAATATTTGAAGTAAATCTACACTTACGAGTTCCTTGAGAGTGATTCTCCAGAAGGTTCTAAAGAGACATGTTCCAAGGCTAACCAATACCCTGAAAAATGTGAGATGTGTGAAGATGAAATGTCAGTAAATGAAGATGATTTTGCCAAAAATAACTCAAATGAAGAATTGTTCTCCAAAGCTAGGAAATCAAAGAAATTCCGTTACAGTATTGAAACTATTTTTTCAGGTAAGACAAATGAGACCATTATGAATGGAGGAAAATTTCTTAAGAGCTGGGGGCTGCTGGCCCCATGGTAAGATGGTGATGCTAAGTGGATACAAAGGCAGATGGCAGTTGGAGAAACACACCTGGCCTGTGTGTGTCTGCCCCGAGTTCTAAGCATGGACAAATGGTGCAAGGGGATTGGGTGTGGCCACGCCCCAGTGGGCAGTACTTTCTCTCTCTCTCTCTCTTTGTTGCTCTTTCTTTCTCTGTCTCTCTCTGGTGAGCACATGTACGTACTGGAAGTAAAATAAAAAAGAAAAGGAAAAAAATCTTAACCTCTAGAAAATAATGAACAAGAGAAACTTGTAATTGTATATTAGCAACTGTTAGATGATGATTTTTATAAAAATGAAGGCAACCAGTGCTAAAAGTGAGCATGAACTTACAGGTCATTGGTAGTGCATGTAAATAGTAACATTACTCATTTGCATCTCAGTATGCATACAATTTCAAGCTGAGGAGGGCCTGAGGACCTCCTTGTCAAGATGAACAACACCTGAAATGTTTGTTCTCAGAGCTCCTTAATCAGAATGTGGGGATGGGATATACTGCTTGAATGCTGCCTTTCAAATGACCTCTTCGATTTATTCATAGAATATTTGGAAAACATCGATTTATGTTGACTTGTCATTTAGCTGATATAAATGTCAATTTTTTATTCTTTCTTTTTTATTTAATGAATCCTAATAGACACAGAAATTGTGACCGAGTTTGAGCATAAATACCTGTATGATGAGTAAGTATCAGACATTTTAAAAATAATAAGCATTGTATTTTATATTAGTTACTGTGTTTTTCTGACATATCTTTTACTGTTTTTTTCTTTTAGATTTTCAGAATTCCCTACAAATCTCTTTATGGAGCCCAGCAGATTAGAGTTTTCGATAAAAATTCAAAATATGGTGACTAACATTGAACAACGTATAAGTAAGTATTTTTAAAATTTAGTGAGATGCCTTGTCTTCTTTGGCAGTGTTTTCTAGACACCTGATGCTTTTACCCAACAATGTAATAGACATTATGGAATATTAATAAATCATAAATTTATAGTCTTCAGGATCAAGCAATGTGATTTTGGGTTATCTGAGGATATGTGAATTATACACATAGCCATAGAATATATAAAAGATAGGAATTAGGGTAACAGCCCAAGGCTTGGATTTTTCTCAGTCATCTACTGAGAATTTTATGACAGAATTTTATGACATTTTGAACAAATAAGAAATAGCTTTTATGTCATAGCATAATGGAAAAACTGTTTCACCTTAAGTAGTTTTAAATAAATCTTTTTTTTGCTGCATGTACATTATCTAAAATTACATGGTAGTTATTAACCTGGCTGAGGAATTTATTCCTTTCCCCTGATAAGTTTTACAAAGATATTAAAACAGTAGGACCTTTGGCAGTTCCTAGAGTTTTACATCATTTTCTGATCATGTCACTGTTGTTCCCCAAGTTTACAGGACTCTCTTTCCAGCCTAAGCTGGTATCTAATGCTTTTGTTTTGTTTTGTTTTACAAGTTTCAGGAATTCAGTCTTTTCCATTATATTTTGTAACTATCACCACCTATTAAGTTCCCCCCCAAAAAAATGTCTAATATGCAAACAGTAAAACAGTATGTCTCTTGAAATTTCATATTTATTTTGAAGTTTGCATTATATTATTAAGATGAAACATACATAAAAACCCAGGATTATTTTAAAATAACAATGACACAAATTTTTTATACTTCCTTATAAACAAAATTTTCATACTTTTTCCATGTAGAAAATTATTTTAAAATAATAACAAATTTTTTACCCTTTAAAAAAAACTTTCAATGTTGACCAGCAGGTAGTGTGGTGGTTAAGGTGCTGGGCTCCCATGTGGCTGACTGTGGTTTGAGTCCCAGACCTGGCAGCTTGAAACTCATGCTGGGTACATGTGCATGTGCACCCAAAACCCTAAGAGGAGAATGGAGGAGAAGCAACTGTGGCATGTCCATCTTCCCTGGGGGGTTGATTTCTCACTTTCTCACTCTGTCTCTCTGGCAAGTGCACATGCCTTATACTAAAAATCTCTCTCAAGAGAAAAAAAAAATCCCTTTCAGTGTCTGGTATGATAGTTCACAATGATCATATCATAAAAACATTCTCCCACTGCCCTAGCTGGGGTGACACAGCCAGTATGACACTGCCATACAATTTTGGAGCCATAGAGGAAGTTTATGTTTGGATCCCGAATAGACCAGGAATATCTGTGCATGCGCATGATCCTGGCAAGCTGAGAGACCGGAGTAAGGATTGTGGTGTAGCAAGACCATCTTGAAGTTTTCCCCTCACCCCTCATCTCTCATGGAAGAAATAAAGAAGCCTAAAACATATTGTCCCACTTATTTTCTAATTTTATTATGATTCATTTAATCATTCAAATATTTAATCACTCAAATTTATTTGGCATGCATAGCAAAGTAGAACTCCATTTAAAATTTTTTATTTATTATTATTATTCATACATTCAATCACTATACATCATTTAGATTGTAAAGAGACTTTACCCTGCTGGATAAACACCTCAGTCCAGCCCAGCTGAGAATACTATACACATCCTCATCAACAGATAATAAACTGTATCTGTGTTTCACAAGTGTCTCACCTCCCTATTTTTTTCCCCAAATTTCCTTTCTTATGCTCTTCCCTGCCCACATTCTCTTTCCACTTTGTCTCTAGTGTCCATAACAATTTCACTTTTTTGGAGAGGTTTTTGCTATAGGGCGTGTACACTCACCAGAAAGAGAGAGAGACAGAGAGACAGAAAGCTAGAAATCACCCCTCCCCTCCCCGGGGGGGATGGCCAGGCCACAGTCCCTTCTCCTCCATTCTCCTCTCAGTATCTTGGGCATGCATGCACACATGCCCAGCATAAGTTTAAGCCACCGAGTCCAGGACTCGAACTGCGGTCAACTACATGGGAGTCCAGTGACATAGCCATTACGCCAATTGCTGGTTTCATAACAATTACTAATGCTTTATGTCCTCCAGTCTTTCAGTCTCTACCACAGAGTTTGGACAGTCTGTAGGTATATATTAAGTAGAGACATATAATGTCTCTTTCATAGCCTGACTTGCTTCACTCAGCAACAAATCTTCCATATTTACCCACTTTCTATTAAATACCATGGATTTGTTGGGTTTTTTTATGGCTGAATAGTATTCCATGGAGTATACGTGCCACAAGTTTTCAATCCATTCCTCTGTTTGTGGACATTTGGGTTGGTTCCATGTCTTAACAATCTTAAATAAGGCTGCAATGAATATAGACGTGCAAGTGCTTTTCTGACTGAGTATGCTCCTATCCTTTGGGTAGATACCCAGGAGTGGAATTGCTGGATCATTGGTAGTTCTATTTGAAGGTATTTAAGGAACCTCCATATTCTCCACAGTGGCTGGACCAATTTATATTCCCACCAACAGTGTAGGAGTGTTCCCCTTTCACCACATCCCCTCCAGCACTTACCTTTTTTTTTTTTTTTTTAATCTTCACCATTCTGACTGGGGTTAGGTTGTACCTTATTGTGGTTTTGATCTGCATCTCCCTTATGATGAGGGATGTTGAGCATTTTTTCTTATGCATTTTGGCTGTTCATATGTCTTCCTCAGAGAGTTGTTTATTAAGCTCATTTTCCCATCTTTTAATTGGGTTAATTATTTTCTTCGTTTTCTTCCGGATAAGCCACTTCAGTTCCTTGTGTATTCCCGTTTATCAGTCCCTTATCTGAGGCACAGTTAACTAAAAGTCTCTCCCATTTCGAGGGTTGTTGATTCACACTAATTATGGTGTCCTTTGCTGTGGAAAAACTTCTTAATCTGATATAATCCCACCTGTCTATTTTAGGGATTATTGTCAGTACTTTGGGGGTCTTGCTTATGAAGTCTTTGCCTAGCTCAATGTCTCCCACAGTTTTGCCAGTGTTTTCCACCAGTACTTTTATAGTTTGTGGTCTTAGGTTTACATCTTCTATCCATTTTGAGTTGATTTTTGTTAATGGTGATATATAGGGGTTCAGATTCATCTTGCTGCAGGTGGATTCCCAGTTTTTCCAGCACCACTTGGTAAAGAGGTTTTCCTTTTCCCACTGGGTTGACTGGCACCCTTTGTCAAAGATGAGTTGGCTGTATGTTTTGGGGTTTATTTCTGG